TATGTGTTGCCTTTTAAATCCAATGCAAGTGCATTGATAGGTGTAAAAACTTTCATGACTTAGTTACTTGGAAATGTGGATGCAGAAACTTAGATAGGAAGTCAGATAATACCTGGCTTTGAGTCATAGAGCATGACTGTGTTTCTGCACTTAGTTTCTAAAATGTGGCCCAACTGCATTGCATTATATCACTTGCATCCTCAGACTCATATCTGTGAGATTAGCAATCAGTGAGTTCCTGCCGGCCACCTACACAGACACTCACATTAAACCCTCTTTTGTAGTCTGGCAGCTGCAGAGTGCAACACGGGCTGTGAGTGGAAGAAAGTAATGTGGTGAATGAAGGGCATGGAATCAGGTGGTCTCAGTCTGATACCAGAATGAAGACTGGTGAAAGAACAAAGCTACTTTAAGCACATGATCCCCGAGGACTGGGGAAATCTGGTCATTTAAACGTGTCTTTTTGTAACTTTGATAAGTTAAGAAGTAGACAGTCAAGTCAGGTCGTCTGTAACCTGCTAAAAACGTGATGGTTATTTTTATGATTGACTGGTTGCTGGAACAAGCTACAAATTTAGTACTCGACTATGACCATTTTTGGTTTTTCAGAGTGATCATGTTTGAATGAGGAAAGTGTTGTAAATAAGTAATTTGCTAATGCCAGTGCTCATGACCTAGCTTGCTTTCCAGGGCGCAGCTGTATGGCACGCTTAATGTGTACGTGACACTTAACACCAAGTGTGATTGTTGTCAGTCAGATGATTTGGTTGACTTGCACCTTCACTTCCACTTTACTTTTCACTACAAACTACTAAAATCTACAGAAATTGAAGCACAGGACCCAAAAACTGTGTGGGTTACCCAAAATTATTGATGTCTGAGGCAGGTATGTGGGAATCCTGGCTAATTCACAACACTATTGTTTGCTGCCCCCCTTTTTCTGACCGACACAATTGGGAAAATATGCAAAACACCATTGAGGTACACTTTCTGCATAAAAAGGATTGCTTTGACTTATCATTCCTGTACATTTCTGAAATAAAAGTGTGTATTTAATACAGAATGAGCAGATATTACTATTACTAGCTACTGTTCCTTACCAATCAGATGGCCAATCCAAGCAGACTTAACCTTTGGGGGGCTGGGTATTAAGTGGGTTGAATATATGTGAAGGTTGATTTATTTGAATCACATTTTGATTTTGTGTCCATGGCTCAGTTAGTGATGAACAGACCTCTTTATATATCAACCTTTATAGTTTTTATAAACTATGACAGTCCAAACGAGACAACTTTTTCATGGGTATCAGTATTCATGGTTTCAGGGTATTTCCATGTGGGCCCTGCTTTTACAGCACACAACAGGGCTTTGTATCTAACTGCATAGTTATAGGACAGTAATAGCAGTCGTGAGTTGGCGTGTGCACACTGATGCATTCCTCCATAAGTAAGTGACAGACAGAAAGTAACGGCAAACATCAGGAGGCCCTGCTCCTCGTAAACCTGGTGTTCATGAACATATGCTTCATGTTGTCTTTCAACTGAAAGAGACCATCGTTTGCTCAACGCTGGCAGCTGAAAAAGAGAGGATGACATTTTTGAAGCACTGAAGCTTGACACAATTCAAATGGAGATCTCTTGTGACACTAAAGAAAAGAGGGGTTTTTTTGGCTTGGAATGCTCACAGTAAAAAGCAGAGCAGAGCAGGTTGTTTGGACCATAAGATGTAATTGCAGGTTTGAAGGAGTTGCTTAGATTATAGGTTTGGTTTCGGAAAGACTGACCTGTTTGTTAGCTTGGATGATCCATGTGTGATTGTCAGGACTGAGGAATTTTGACACATAAGCAGCACTGATGTTGCTTTGTTAGTCATTTAGTTCTTTGTGTCTACTTTAGATGAAAATGTTTTTTTGTTATTTTAGGGCTTGTGAATATTTGCAAAAGAAAACGTGTAAAAGAAATAATAGATTTAATACTATCTAATGAAGGACATCATTTTAAAATGAATTACATAAAGAAGACATCTTAAATCCATTTTTAATAGGAATTGGTATTTTCCCCCGCTTTCATTTATCATATGGAGAAATTCATACAAACAAATGAGCGATATAGAGTGTGATGTGAACAATAGATTACAAGTATAATGGTGTCCCCATTACCCTCCTCCTTCTCTGCCCATTGTGGATAAGTGTGTGAATCTGTGTGAGGGTGAGAGAGGCAAACTTGCCTGCATATGTTCGACATTACATGTCAGCGTCTGCATTGTGCTTGTTCATGCACTCACCCCAGCAGTTTTAATTACATGGATCACAAGCTTGGCCATTGATCCCCTCACGTTTCCTTGTTGAAGTATGCCACTTTGTGCCATTTTTTTGAGCATTTAGATCGGGTCACTTATATCAGCAGCTGCAAAGACTTAACCCATGCACAGATGCAGTCTTTTTTCCTGCTTTAAAAACATGGATTTAAAGCCAGCCATCATGTTTTCTGACCTAGGCAAACAAGACAGTGTTGCTCTCCCTAAGCCGACAAACACAATTTAACAAGTAAATCCAAAGCTACGGTGTCTGCTGTAAGGTTCCTAATTAAAAAAACAACAACAACAATAACTATGCCGCAGGACTGGGACTTGTCATATTCTGTTTTGTTGATCAGATGACTAGATCACATTTTAGCTGGCTGCACATGCTGAGAGCAGTTTGGATGTGGCTCAGAAGTAGGTTATGACACATTTGGATGCATGCAAGTATCTGGAAGGGCTCTCCTTTGAGATAGAGACTTAAACAAGAAACAGCTTGCAGACCGGGACTTGATAAGGAGCAGATGAGGAGTTTTACACCTGTTAGCCTCTGGGTTTATGAGAATTTCTTGTCTATATCTTTTTACAGTGTCCTGCATTTTTCCTTTTTTTTTTTTTTTTTCTTTTACATCCACATACATTCAGTGACCGGTGCAGCAGAGCCCTTAGCCAGTGGGTGAGGGTCTAGTCTCTCTGTCCTGGAATGCAGTTGACTTTCTAAATCCCCACCAGTCTATCCTGGGGCTGTGGGGCAGGGCCTATCTCAGGCCCTCTTTTCCACATGAGCTACGTCTGGAATCTCTAAGCAAGCAGTTAGCTGTTTCTCCCAGCCTGGCTTTTTCACCGGCGTTCTGTGTGTCGATTCAGAGGAGCAATGGAAGAAGAAATTGCAGATGAAGACAAAGATTGCTCACTTGGGGAAGGTAATGAGCTTTGTGACATGCCACCCGCAAATTAATTCTCATCCTTTAGAGGTTTGAGTGTGCTCTGTCTACTGAGTGTAATTTGGTTAGCAGTAGGGATACTGTGTGTGGAGGATAAAAATAGGACTGGAAGTACATCAGACCTGCTGTAGTTCTGAACTTGAGTAGCGTGGGGGGCCTTGGTTGGAGACGCGTCGCTGTTTGATATTTTCTTATAAATGATATCTGCTTTTTGACCAAAGCAATGTGTGAAAAGCGGATATGAAAAAAGAAATGTAGTAAATAGCACATGAAAACAAATGCAGCCACAAGGCCGAGGAGCCGCTGTGGTAGTTAAAGCTACTGTTACCTCCGGTTCTTTTGTTTGAGCGCAAAGCGAGACATTTACTTATCATCCGTGGCACACCGTGCACTTTCAAGCATTCAAAAATGAAATGTTATATTACACAACTCACAAAATACAGGGAAATTACAGAAAATTGACAGCTGCTGAACAGCTGGGCTCCTCAAGACGTCCTGTATTTTCTGACATTACCCTTTGAAAGGTACACGTTAGAGTTACAGAACATGGCAAGCAGCCATCCCTCCGCACTTACCCTTTTTTCTTCCATTCTTTTCTCCTTTCCTCTCTCACACAATCTCACAGCTTTCTCTTTTCTAAACTCTTATAGTTCTTGAGATCATGACTGATTGAGGGAAAATTATAAAGGTAGAAACATCTTTATGTACCTGTGAAGAACCATCTGGTTGTTTATTTAGCATTTACTTTTCTTTTCAATAAGAAACATGCTTACTTTTTTGTATCTTTCACTCCCATTCTGTGGAATAGCCTCCATTGTTGTGGTCATGTTACATTTAGAGGACTAGATTTATAAGATAAGACGTAGCAAAGTTGTTGTGTTGCATTTTGTCAAAGGTGTAGATCTCAGATGGTTTATTGGCCTTGACATGACCTCTTTTGAACTATGGGATAGTAACAAACATGTACACTCTAGTTACTGATGTCAAAACATACAGTTGTCCAATAGAATGACCACATGACTTTTTTCTGACATTGTTAGTCACTGTCCATTTGTCCTTTTAGAAATATTGCCGGATAGATTTTTAAGTGTGTTTTGGAATATTGTCGTGACAAAAACCGACATCCATTTCAGTTTCAACTTCAACAGTTGCACGTTTTAAATATGATGCTGAATTAATAGTTAACTCTGAGAATACCGATGCCATTTCCAGGTAGGAGCCTCTTTTTCTCTACAAGGATTGCCTGCAATATAGGAACTCCCTGAAGCAAATCACCAAATCCTAGTTTGCTTCAAACTAACGACAGGAACTGTACCTGGTAGTGTGTTTTTGTGTGTATTTTTTGTATTTGCATGACTTTCCAAAAGACCTCCATCCCAATAAAGCTTATGAGACAATGCCAAATCTTTACATTTCTACTTCTCTGTTGAACAAGTGACAGTACATGTCTTTAGTCTACACCATGTGATTCAACTTTCCAGAGCCCTTTATTCTCTTTGTGTGTCTGCCAAGCAATAGCTTGCCGCAAATGTTCCTCTTGGGCACAACTCACTTACATGTCAAATCTGTAGAAACTCTTGTAAACACTTAGTCGTTGACACCGACCACTTAGATACTTACCTGCAGATCAGGTGTAGGAATGTAACAGGATTTTAGTGTTCGCCAGTCATATGAACACATTAACAAGCCTAGTTTATTGCATACCTGTGAACGCCCGTGTATTTGAACACCTTGTCTCTGTCTCCTTTGCCCCCGCAGAGCAAAACAAAGGCAACCTGAAGGTCACCTCACCAGAGGACGCAGAGCACGCAGGCCACAGACAGGCATCCCCCAATGGGACTGCTCCCTCAAAAGGGGACGCCAAAGGCAGCCGCACTGTCCCTCGAAGGCACACATTAGGAGGGGCCCGCAGCTCCCGGGAGATCCTGGCAATGCAGCCGTCAGATATGGACAAGAAGAGGGAGGCCTTCCTGGAGCACCTGAAGCAGAAATACCCCCACCATGCCTCAGCCATCATGGGACACCAGGAAAGGCTGAGGGAGCAGGTCAGTGAGCTCAGAAAGTCTATTTGCTGGGCCCATACTGAAAGCTTAGACACAGGGGGAAAATACTGGTATAAATATAAATCTGAACATTAGATATAAAGTCAATAACTGTGTTTTTGGCAGTTCATGACTTTTACACTATGGTTTTGGATTACCTGGCCCTACAGATTTTCTCTTTACCTCATGTGCTGCCAAATCAACCTTCACTAAAAGGTGATTGAACTAGTAGCTAGTTTATGAACAGGCTTTGAATGGTTTGTGAGTGTTGTATATCAGTCATGTTGATCTTGAAAAAATTCCTTTTTAAAATCAGCTGAGAACATCTGGACCCGTAAAGTGTTACGCCAGCCAAGTTAAAAATACTATCCATCAGTTCCACCATATTATTCATCCTTAGGAAACTCAACCGCATGATCAGTTACATTTAAAATGTTTTTCTTAATCACAAGGTGCTTGGAATTTTATGTTGTAAAGTCAAGATTAGACATGAAAATGTGATGATCTGCAAAAACTTAAAAACCCCAAGTCAGGAAAAATCTAAAGTTGATTTATGGAGGCGTTTGTTCAACTCCTCTCACATTTGAATGATGCTTGACGGCAATTTTGCTCCTTCTTGCTGCGCCTGAAGGATGATTTAATGCAAATTGCTGAACATATGAAGTAAATTTATTTGCCAATATATTGATGTATAGCTTAGTTCATTCCAGAACGAGTGCATTTAGCAAGTGAAAATTAGACGAGACGCTCAACTATAAAACTATGACCACTATGACATTGAAATATAGAAGGCTTTGCCCAGTCCCCGTCATTTTAACCTTACTTTGTCGACTGCAGTGAAACGGCAAAAGCTATTTCCCCTCTCTTTTTGCTGCAGGTTAAGTTTGAGTTGTAATCCTATAAATCTGCCTGTCATGTTTTCCCTCCCACAGCTCCAGTCAAACAGTGAACTATGAGGTAGTCGAATTCATGCAAACCACAAACAGTTTGAATTGGCCATTCTCTGCTGTTTTAATCACTCTTACTTGACTTGCGTATAGCTTCAGGCAGGTTTGTATATTCTCTTCGACAGAATGATGTATAAGCCATGGATTTCCCAGTGCTGTTTTTGGAGCTTTTGGTGGTCATAAAGTGTTGCTGTGCCTTTAAGATTTCTGAAGTCAGTGGTGAGGGCAACAAAGCTCGAGTCTCCAGGTGGACATTTTGCTCACCTGGTCATTGTCTGAGTGTTTGCTCTGGGTCAGAGGAGACAAAAGGGAAGAGCAAGCTGCCTTTGTATCCAAAACAATCGAGTTAATGGTGAGACTGGCACCAAGCCACAAAGGAGCTCCAGGCAAATGTTCAAGGCATTGTGCAAGAGGGATTTTGCGTTGTGTTTTAAGACCAGCATACAGAGTAAACCCTTTTTCAGGAGGTGGTGCTCCAGTCCACTGCTCCGGCCAGTAACTCCATAGTTTTGCATATGTGGCCTGATATGGATCCAGGTGGATTATGGAAGACAGCATGTGGTTTGTTTACCTGTGACCAAGTCTATTAATATTTTCCTTTACTTATTCAGACACTAATGAATGCATGCAGATGAAAAGGGACTTCATGCTGTGGTTTAGGTAGTTGTCAGACAGGTATGATCAGCTCTGGGGTGGAGTTAGCGTTGCCATTGTGACTCATGATGTCACTGCTGGAGGGGCTCAGTTTACTTGTAGGTGCCTGTAGGAGAGGAAGGGCTGCTTACGTGAGAGCTGTGTGTGTGTGTGTGTATGTGTGTGTGTGTGTGTGTGTGCAAGAGCGCTCTGCAGAGCGGGCTGTGGACCTGAGGATAGTCTGGAGGCATGGCTCTCCGTACGAGGAATGATATGAAATAAGAAACTTTTTACGCAGACTGGAATACGCGTTTCACAATCTCCACCACTTATACCGGTGACAGACTTTGAAGGTAAGAATTTATCGGGGGGAAAAAGAGTTTGAAATGCATGCATCGCCACTCATTCAAAACAAGCCCGTGCGTCACTGCGCGCTGCGAGATTACCCACCGATGCGCGGACTGTTGCGCTTTGCGAAGAGTGAAAGAGCCATTGAAGTTTTTAGATCCGCGGCGCTGTCAGGTGCCGCGAGCTTCCAGGAGGCGAATGTAGCGTGTCGGTGGAGTTTAGGGAACACAAAACGTCTAAGAAAAAGTCTTAAACCTCAGCGGGTGTTTTTTTTTCTCCACTTCACTGATAGTCAGATCGACGCCTTGAGGTAGTCCGTGGTAAGTCATCCAAAGGGTGCAATCACCTGCATCTCCCCATAATTTTAACCACACAGAACGCATGTCGCTTTAAATACCAAACAAATGATCTATTGAGACCATGGTAGTTCTTGTTGTTAGAGTGGCGCATAACATGTTTTGGACGAAAGTAATTATGCAGTTATGACAGTATAGGCAGACTGCTGTTTTCTGCTGGTCCTGCACGACCCTCTCAAAGGCGCCAAGAAAAATAAAAGGAAACTCCTTCATCTTTGTAGATTTCGTATTGATCGTGTTGTATTCAAGTGACAGCTTGAGTGAGCTCCAAAGCATGTAGTCAAGAGTTTTTGTTTTTCTTTCTTCAAACCGAAACTTGTGAGTTCCCCATGTTTTGTCAGATCTTCTTAAATTTGCCTTAAAAATCTCAATCTTGGAGCAATAAGACGAGTAAATGTGAGACTTGTGTTTGTGATTAGATTGTCTGTAACATGTCATGGAGTTTTCTTTTTCTTTCCTTCTTTTTTTCTTCTAGATATCATATATCAGTATTTACACTGACAGCTGATTGCTCATCATCCAGTTAACTTGCTTTTGTTCTGCTTCTGAACTGAAATGGGACAGAGGATCTGACAGTGCTTCAATATTGGGAGAGATACTGTTGAAAAATCAAGTTTAACATCTTTCCAGGTGCTCCACTGAGCTGCCAGAACTCTGACACAAGATGAGAGATGCAGTGCGGCGTTGGGGCTGTCAGTTCATGAGACCTGACTCTTTGAACTGATGTAGAAATGAAGCAACTCATATGTCATTCAGATGTGTGTGATGAGACTTGAGCGGCTATGGCTGTTGAATTTATCATGTCAAGGAAGATGATACAAGCTGCCGTCATAAAACAGGCCCGTTCCAGCATGAAATTCTGGCAAGATGAGCGAAGATCATGTGTGGCATAATCTCATTCAGGCGTCAAGAGCAATGCAGTTATAAAGTCCAAACAGAAGCAGCAGAAAAAGAAACGTTTATTGGAGTGTTTGTCATTTGGTGTTCTTTATGGAATTAATTATTCAGTTTTATGGGGGGGAAAGTGCCTGAAACTCACTTACCCACTGCTATGTGAAGGAAGGCAAAGGCTGGCTGCGGTTCCCACGCAGATGTAAAGATGCCGATCATACAGGAAAAGCAGCATCAGTGGCAGTTCATGCTTCATAGGTGAAAAGGAAATGTCTCATGGGGTTTGAGTTACAAAGGCGGAGATTTATCAAGGTCAGGTGGAGGTTGGGGAGATAATATCACAAGAGAGTGTAAAGTGGGTGACCTCATTCCGTTTGGAATGACCACACCAATACTCACAGAAATTGACTGACGCAGACAGAATAAGATACCACTCTTCGGTTTTTATTCTTTTTCGATCATCAAACCCACAACAAAGGCAAGCGGTGTGATTTCCTCTGCTCCTCATCAGGCCTTCAAAGCACTGGGTCCCACGCAGGCGGGATGAGATAACATCTCACTGGCCTGACTGCCACCCATCCTCTCACCCCTCTCTGCCTGGGGGCTATGACTAGGACAAACTGAACTGTTTGACCCATCACAAACACACGCACACACACTCTGCATTCCCTTCCTTCCGCCAGTGTGTCAGCCTCTATGTGTGCGATGAGCTCCATGGAGTGGAACGGCCATGTTGGGGCAGCTGTTGGGGACAGAGAGGCAAAGCGACAGACCTGTTTGTCGCTGTAAGATACAATAATCGATTGGCTGATGACAGCATAGATTATGACTGTAAGAATCAAGGTACAATTATTCATTTATTTTATACCAGGGCCCATATTGTTGTTCTTTCTAAGGATTTAGCAATTTCTGTGCTTTTATCATTCCCACTGAACAGAACAATAGAGCAGACGAACAACTGATTTGTAAGTGGTTATGTGATCATTTCTACAATATAAATGGAATGATTTTTCCTTTGCAAATTTGATTAAAAAATCACCATTAATCCGTGACATCAACACAGATAGCGTCATTACAAACTTTGCTGGTACCGAGACTGCCATCTGTGTTTTTGCAGTTAGAGAAGCACCATCCACAACAGACACATCTTTCCGAGCATATCTCCAGCACATCTGAGCCTCCTGCTGCTGTCTAAAAACATGCTGTGTTTAATGGAAGTTGGAAGTCCAAGCTCGAATCATTTTCAACATCAATGCATTCAATGCATGAGGTGGAAATAATCCATCGCTACCTCCAGGTGTGCTTTGCTGCTTCTTATGGGCGGCACTAACGTGTAGTTATATAGTTTACCTCTGCTCGATGTATTAGATCAAGAATGTCAAAGGAAAGGATTTGATTTTGCATTGCAGTTTAAGATATTTCATAGGAGTAAGGAAAGTAAGTATTAAATCAGGAAATTATAAGACTTTCTGCTGTTTTGTTTGTTGTGCGTTAATTTTAAGTAATCGGTATCCACAGATACCACTGAATTCAGAGTTGTTTTCCGTTGTGAATGTTCAACAAATGTCGATTTTTGTTTTCTGAATTAACAAGACTTAAGGCCTTTTACACCTTATTTCAAGTTACCTTTTTGCTTAGTAATTTAGGGGGAATTCTAAATAAGGGGATATCTATTTATTTTGCACATAAAGAAGATGCAAATGTATTATTTGAAAACATTTTGTGAAAGTCTCCTGGGAAAATACATATAACGCTGAACTGTTCATTCAAAGAGAGCAAAGAGCAATGGTTTTAATATAAACAAAAATTAGATGACGGTGCTGAAAGC